ACATTTCACATTTTTAAACCATGTAACAATCAATACTGCTGATGTAACTGGCAACTCAGGTGCACTGGTTCCAAGGTGCCTACATGGAGACATCCCCAGGAACCTGGCTTTAACAATGAGGATGTATCTAATCACTTTCCCATTGAAAATCTTGGCCCAGACCTCTCTTAAGTGTCAGTGCAACACAAGCTGTGCCCCGATTTCAGCCTGAGAAAAGATGCCTTTATTCTCCTATGCAAGCAGGGACTGCACCTCCTGCTGCTGGAACACACCTTCATCTCCTTCCAGCCACAGTTAAGGCTGACTTATCTTATGTGAGCCATTTACCTCTTAGTTAACAAGAGCAGCCTACTAAAATAGATGAGAGGTTTACAGGAAGGAAGCAGTTAAATGATAAAAATGTGAAATGTTATGCAGCAAGCTGTGTACAATTAACTAAATTCAAATATACACCTTGTTCCAATCCAAGCCATTTATGAGATAAAAATAGTCTGCTAGAAGAATGCCATGATTAATGAGGTGAGACTCCAGCTAATTACTGTTTCCTCCAGAAGTAATTAGGTTGGCATTGCTAATCAAGATGAATGAACACTCTGACCCGCTTTTTAAAATGTAAAACTATGAGCTGCAGCAGCAATAACATCATTTAGTTCAGGCAATGTAGTCTTTATTAGGCTTGTAGTTTGATTAAATTCTTTTGTTATACCAGGCTTTCCACACATGAACAGATGAATGCTGCAGTGTTCAAAGAGTTTGTCATCCTTAATTAAAGACTGTAAAGGCTTGTTCAGTTCATGGGGCAGTACACAGGACAGCTCTAAATTGATAGCTTTTAAGTGGGGGATAACTGGGGGAGTCACAGGGTTTCCCATCTGCAAGAGGATCCCTTCCTCCTTCCACAGTTTTCTGTCATAGTAGCTGGAAAATTAGTATTGGATATTTTTGTACTGATTCCATTAGGCACCACTCATTTAATCAGAGCACCTTTTCATACACAACTACACAGCTTCACTTTTGCAGAGTGAATCCATTACGAGTTAATTTACTGCACTGTGTCTGACTGTGACCCTTTTGCACAGCTACTGAGCCTCAGAGCAGCCTCCTGTCCCACCATCCCAGCAGCTCCACCACAACTACACCATTTCACCCTGGGAAGGAGGTTGAGAAAGCAACATATGAATTATGTAGAGATACAATATAGTATAGTGGAGTTAACACCTAGCAGTTTCCTTTTTTACCTCTTACCAGCAGATAAAGCACTCCCTTGTAACCAGGATTTATTTCCGCCAAACATAAGGTCCAAATTTTCATCTAGGACTTTTAGCTTAAAGCATAGCAGAGTGGGTAAGAGAGTGCCCTTCAGCCTGCACTGAGCTGTTGGATATGTGAGCAGAGGGGTCTCGGGATCCTGCATGGGGCACAGGGCTGGTGGCAGCAGGGGCAGGCTCCCTCCCTCACCACATGGTGAGTGACTGTAGACATGGGACGACAACACCTGCCTGAGCCTCCACCACACACGCTCCTTTGGACACGGGCAGTGGTGAGAGAGCTGGTGCCAGGGCTCCCCAGCCCAGCCTCTGTCCATGGCACTGCAGCAGCCTCAGAACCAGCAGCACTTTGCTGAGCAACTCCTGTGCCTCAGGTGAGGGCAAAACTTCCCACCTGGCACAGCACACACAGGCACAGAGGATGCCATTTTCCTGCCTCAATGAAGTTTCGCTCAGCCACTGCCCCCAGCAGACACATCGCGCACCCCAGCAGGCAGAAGCTGCCTTCTCACACCTTCAGCACAATGCTTGTAGGAGCAGGGTAGACCCCCACAAGCCATAGCAAAACGGACAGGCAGACAGCAGCTCCCTGAGAGGGCTTTGACTCATTTTCATTTTATTTAGTGAATCAGATTGCTGGTTACAGATTTCTGCAATGACAAACGCACTAGGAAACCAGGAAATGAGAAACATCTACAATTCCTATGAGCTCCATTTCCCATCCCTGCAATGCCCCTTCATGGCTGTAGGCAGGATGTTGCACAGTCACCCTCTGCCTCCTTTCGGTGCTTGAGCAACAAAGTACACAGCATAGAAAGTTATTTAAAAACGTAAAACCAGTAAAAGACACTTCCTATGGCTACACACCTTGTTTCTCAGGCAGGCATGCTGATCTCACAAATCCTAGAGTCACTTATGTTGGAAAAACCTCTAAGGTCACCAACCACCCTTTAATCCAGCATCACTCTTATTCACCACTACACCACAATCCTAAGTGCCACATCCAAATGTCATTTGAAAAGTCCTCAGGGCAGCTAGTTTCAATGATTTACCAACATTTCAGTGTAGAAGTTTTTCCTTATGTCCAATTTAAAGCTCCCTTGGTGCAATTTGAGGCCATTATCTCTCATATTTTTCACCTGTTACTTGGTAGAAGAGACTGGTTTCCCTTCCCTGCTCCCCCCTCCTTTTTATAGCCTCCTTTCAAGGCATTCTAGAGAGCCATAAGGGCCCCTTCCGAGGCTCCTTTTCTCCAGAGTAAGCACTCCCAACACCCTCAAATTCACCTCATAAAACCTGTGTTCCAGATCCATCCCCATCTCTGTCCCCATTAGCTGGACACACTCCAACACCTCAGTGTCTTCCTTGCAGTGAGGGACCTGAAACTAAAGACAGGCTTCAAGGTGCAGATGCATCACAGCAAATGCCAGAGTACATGTCACAGCTGAGATGGCCATGATATACAGAATATCCCCACACAATTTCAGAAAGCTTCACCTCAACAGTGCACCTTACCTCTTCAGAAGGCTTCACCCCAAACACAGTAACACTTCACCTCTCCAGAAGGTTTCAGGCATCTGCCCACAGAGAGGAACACCATTCCACTTCAGAAGGCTGCAGCATCTGCTCTTCCTGTCCTTCAGCCCAGCCTTTTATAGCCCTGATGTTGATGCCCTGGGCACTCCATGGCTCATTCCCTTCATGCTGCTCACCGTCCTGCACAGCTGGAGCCAGTCAGGGATGAGGCTGGGCCACAGCCCCACTCCCAGTCACCACAAACTGTACCTACACAGGTGCTCTGATTTCCTCAGAACCCAGGGAGAGTTGTGAAAGGACAGGCTTCAGATACTGTGTTCTGACCTGTCCTGACCTCACCAAGCAAGGCTAAGTGTTCCTTCAATCATGCAGCTAGTCCATGTGTTTCTGGGAGCACATCAATTACCTAAAAGTGAAGCATGTCACTTTTTAGCTGCTACATGCTACTGAAGCAACTTGAGTGGTTTACTAATGGAAGTTTTATTGATCTGTCCAAGCTGTAGGTGCTCATGCACTTTTACTGACACATCGCCTTAACTCCTGTTTTGAGAACATGGGTTAACTGACTCAAATTAAAACAGGCGACCCCACAGAAGCAAGCAATTTCTAAATCCCCTTTCCCTGGTCACAGCTGTGCCACAAAGGTGTTTCCCTATCTGTCCACACATTATTTCCATGCATTCCTGCTGGGTGTATTCCAGGGTTCTCCAAAAGGTCCTACTGCAAAAAGCATGGGCAGCAGCTTTACTGCTGCTTGAGCATAATCATTTCCATCTCCCAGCCTGCTGCTACCACAGTGCAGGCATGCATCTGTGGTTTTCCTTGGACTCCTTCAGATGCATCATTCTGGGCTGCTTCTTTCCCTGAGAAACAGTCTGGTATATAGGGACTGTTGGATATTTTTTGGCTCTTCCCTTCCCTATATCTAAATATGTCACAATGAGGTGTGATGTCCCCTCAAAGGTCTGCCAGGAAACAAACCTGGATAGACAGGGGATGTTGAGGATGAACCCTCATTTTGTATGAGGTTGCTTCTTTTCTTTTTTTAAATTAATTTTTTATTAGTAGAACTGCAAACATCTTTGCTGCCAAAGACTGATCTAGACACAGTGTAAGCAAAATTATTCTTAGTTTTTTGTTTTGTTTTGTTTTGTTTTTTTTTATGATGATAATAAGACCAAGGGTAGCCTAAGAAATACTGAGAGAATTAAATTTTTGGATGGCTAAATGAAAACTTCAAGAAAAAAAGGCAAATGAAGTAAGAATTAATAAGCCCATGAGGTCACTGCTGGTGTTCAGCTCATGTCAGGGGGCAGGGAACTTGCAGTCATGCACATGGCAGATATCACCCACCATGGAGAAGGGAGTGTGAGCTCATCGCCATACTAAGCCTACACTTCCCATATTTTTGGCACAACTGCTGCTGTTTTAGCAGGAATAGAGCTCAGCCTTGCCAGCCAAGGGGTGTAGAGGGTCAGGAATTTCCAGACTGCTCCTCAGTCCAGTCCACCCCCACCAGTTGATGTTGTTTATAAGTCCCTGTACCCTCTCTGCTTAAAGAGAAATCTAGATCCACCTACTGTCTGCACTTCATGAGCTGTTGATGTACCACAGAGCTGAACTTGGCCAGCCTGGGAATCTGTCCCACAAACACTGGTGCATTCACCGGTAAAATCTGGTTTTCACGGGTTAGATGTCTGTGAGTGCCTAAACCACAGGGCAAATAAAGAGATTAGTCACATTTCTCAGACCCAAAGTGTATTAACCTGAAATGGAGAAATATTTATGCAGTATTTAGGGAGGCTCCCAGTTCTCTTCCTACTACCAGCCAAAGCATCACACACAGTATTTAACATGCATTTTGCACTGTACTCAGTCTGGTTTGGACAGCAGATATCAGAGGAAGCTGTCTTTCCCACCTGCATAAGCAGCTGGAAGAGCTTGCCCCATGTACAAATGAGGAAGAGCACCTTTTTAATATCAGCAGCAGAGCGGGGTGTACAAAAGTGGGCACAAGGAACAACACTCTCTTCCCGTGTAGTTTTTTGGGCTGGCCTTTTTGGGGGGAGAAGGTAGAGCCGGTTTTTTGGTGGGCTTTTTTTGGCTCCTTCCAGCAGTTTTCTAGCCTTCAGAGCTTGTCAGATTTTTAAAAAGAACTGCCAGGATCTGAACAAAATTGTTCTTGTGCTTTTTCAGAGCCCTCTCCTTATTGTGCTGCTGCAGTGATGGGTGAGAGAGCATGGGCACACAACCGGGCTTGTCTGCTGCAGGTTTTCTTCAGCTAATTCAGGTTTTGTAAGTCTTGATGTGAGTTTTTCTCCCTGAAAGAGTAAAATTGAAAAAGTCACTGATGATTTGTTGTTTGCCTCTATTTTGGTGCCAATGCATCATTTAGCACTACAGCAACCATCAATACCCATTCAGGCACTATCACAAAGCTTTTCCCTAACATTCACTGTGTCATTTATAAAGCGATAAAAATCCCCGAGCAGTATATTCTTTTGTGGCCCCCTAGTCCCAGCAACCTTTTAAGGTACTGGACAAAATTAACAACAAATTACCTTATGAATACCAAGTCTTTTTGTTGCAGAGTTCTGAGAGTTTGTAATACTGTCAGATTTGAATTAAATATAACAAAAATTGAGCTACTTTGTGTGGCTGCTTGGTTAGACAGTGAGGTAATTACATATAATAAGGAGATCTGATTAACAATCACTCCTAGTCATGGAAACTTCACACCATTATTGTGCTTAACATGAAGACAGATTGTTATATTGTTTTGGAATGTGGGAAACCAGCAATAGCAGTGGCACACCATAAACTTAATACATAGAGTAGGATTTCTAACATTGCCAGCTGCAGTGAATTAATTGCTCCCAATATTTTATTTTTTCAGGGAATATGGTTTTGCACACTGGTTAAAGAACTGTAAGATGCTCAGTAACTTGTATGCTGCTCCTTCAGCAAAAATACCATAATGTCCAAGCTTCTGTTGCCCAAAATAAAAACAACTCTATGGGTTCTGCTTTATTCTTGTTTTGAAAGGAGACCACAGCACAAAACAGTCATTGTCCTATCACAGGGAGATGTGATGGCAGTAGTAACAACAAACATCCTGGAAGAGACATCTTCACTACTGGGTCCTGCCCCAGCAGTTCCCCAGTGCCTTCCTTTGAGCCATCGTGCCATGAGCTAAGATAACTGGAATATATTCTACTGTGAATTTACAGTGCCAGTGATTTTTTCATTTGGGCAGACTAACAGAAACAGTGAGTTCAGACACAATATTTCACACGTAGCTCAAGGGCTTTTGTTCCCTCTGCCCAAGCAGCCCTGAGGGCACACACCCTATTTACCCTGAAGGATGGAAAGGGGAATTTTATTAATTTTATTAATAATGCAATATTTTCCTGTGTTGGTAAAGTGTCTTGTCCAGGGTTAGAATAAGAAGCTCTATCTTGAGACTCTCCTTCCCAAGAGTGGGGCATTTTAAACTCAGGGAAGCAGCTGGAAAAGAAAATGTCACACTCAGTTCTCTTCAGGACTGAGTTTTGAATCTTGGCTAAGCTTAACCAGCCAATCAAGGAGTGTAAGTCAGCTTTCTTATTTGTGCCTCTGAAAAGGAAACAGCTCCAGCCTAACCACATACAAAATAAACAGCCGTGCTTTTCAAAGGGGACAATACACAAAGCTGTGAAACTCCTCAGCAGAGCAGAAGAGCTGGGAGGGAGGGAGGCAGAATCAGGAAGAACTCATTTGATACTGAGGGGATTTATGAAACATTTGAGACACATTTCAGAACTGAGAGTGAAAACAGAGCAAAAACCTCCCAGAGGGCAGCAGTAGCCAAGTTGAGCTCCCAAACATCCCGAGCACAGCTCCCACGCTGGGACTGTGACACAAGCCAGCACAACTGCTTGGCATAGGCAGCGGCTCAGAGATCCAACGGTCCATCTGTGGGAGAAAGTTATTGGATGAGGAGGTGATAAGGTAGCCAGAAAAAGCACATGAACACCAAGAAAAGCAAAGAACTGCACTCGGGCATGGGGTCAGTAGCTATCATTCAGGAAAGGGTTAGGTGTCACTGTGCACAATGCCACTGGAATGTCGATCCTGTGCTTCAGGAAGCTTGAAAAGTTAAATAAGGCATGGAGAACCATGGGGGAAGGAAGGGCAGGGAGGACAGAAAGGAGAATCATTGTGCTTGTGTCTACTTCAAGGCCCTGTTTTTACCTGTGAAAATGACACAGCATATATAGAAATAATGCAGCAACAGCTGGATTCCTTTTCAGAGAAACATTTGTATGGGGAGCAGAGGCACCCTGGGACTCTCCAGCCTGGAGGAGAGGGAACTTGATCTTCCATGTGCTGGTGGCTGCAGTGAAGGGCAGGAGGGGATGATTTGTGGCTCCTTTTCAGTATCTAAATCCTAAGGACATGAAATGAATTATCTTGCAACAGAACTGGAATGAGCAGAGGAAGCACTTTTCCATGCGGCACATAATTTAGCTCAAACACAGATAATTCTGGAAGCCAAAAGTATAATGTGGTTGAAAATGTAGTTTGACAAATTCATGGAGGAAAATCTAATATATGCTGTGCAACACAAAGCCACAGATCTCCAGCCCAGAAAATCCCTGAGTAATGGGAAGGGAAAAGTTTTATGACACATTAGACCCCTTCCTGCACTCCTTTTTAATTTTCATAGGAAGCAGAAAATGTTCTCTGGTCTGACACACTGCTGCTATCCCAGTGTTCCCAAACTAGCTGCCCAGCCTGCTGTCACTGGAGTGTCCTAAGGCCCAGCTATATCCTGGCTGTACCCTGCAGGGTCTGTTGGGAAAACTTCCTATCTCCTACCTGCAACTACTCTCCCCATGTGTAGGGTACGCCCTGTGCCTTTTATATCTCAGTTATACAAAGATTTTCCTACTCCATGAGGAAGATTATATTATAGAGGGGAATAAAATACTAGTTTGAAAAGCTTGATCAGGGTCACATCCTAAATTAAGAAGAAGGAAGATTCCTGTCCAAATCTTGCAGATGGCTGGGGGTGGCAACTAGTCTGCCTCAGGTTTCAGTCCTATTTTCTCCTAGAGTACACTGAATTCATCATCTCATTGAACAAGCTTTAGCAGTGAGCAACTGTGAATAAGCTAAATCCAGAGAAGTCTGCATGGATAGGAGGCAAAATGCAGTGTTCTTCTCCATGAAAAAAAGTAGAAGAAATCTAGTCTTTCTCAAAAACAAACAAGGAACATAAAACTCCCCCTCTTTTCTTTGATCATAGTGATCTTTATATAATCACCTTTGGGTGCAAGGCTGGCATGGAAAATTCTAGTCCAAATGGTGAAAGTTTGAGAAAGAGACATGACACGAGGAAGCTATAGATGAAACCAGGCTTTCAACTACCTCAGGCACATGCAATCAGTCTTCTCATTGAAGGGTGTGAAATCCTCTTACTGAGAAGACAGCACAGTGTGCCCAAGCTGAAAAACCCCCATTCTTGTGCAAAGCACACAGGGTAGGCAAGGGCATCCTGTCAGCCACAAGCTGCTGTGCCCACCCTGCTCTTCATCACATTTCACAATTGCAGGGTCTTACATAGAGGTAATCAACACTTCAGATGGACTGAACTGAAAATGTCCTCTGAGCAGCTTTTCACAAGGGCAGGTAGTGATAGGACCTGGAGAATAGTTTTAAACAAAAAGAGGAGACATTTAGTTTAGATGTTTAGTTTAGTTTAGATGTTAGGAAGAAATTCTTTACTCAGCATGTAGGAAGGTTCTGAAAAAGTTCACCCTGAGAAGCTGTGGATGCCTCATCCCCGGAAGTGTTCAGGGACAGGCTGGATGGGGCCCTGAGCAACCTGGTTTAGTGGGAGGTGTTCCTGCCCAGGGCAGGGGGGTGGAATGAGATGATCCTAAAGTCTCAGCCAACCCAAACCATTTTGTGATTCTATGATTTGTAACTCCTCTCTCCTGTGTCCAGCTGAAAATATCAGTTCTGCTCCTACACTGCCAAGAGACCTCAGGGAGCACCTGGCAGACTTTCTATTTTTAATTAATTCTGTATTACTGTTTTACACATTTTTTGCTGTCCTTGGACAGGTTCAACAGGCTGGAAGGCAGCAGAAGCACCGTTTCTAAAAATACAACTGACAGATAACTGTGGTCTCCACAGGCTGCCTGTTGGGCCTTCTCTGATGTAGCAATGAACAGAATGGTGTTGTAAAAGCCTTGCTATTGGACAGCATTCTCCTGGATAAGCTTCTTCTGAATAAAGAAAACTGCATATACCTGGTCATGTTACAGTGAGGATAAAGCACAAACTGAGCAATAAAAGAGGTTCATATGTTTAATGCTTCCAGGTGTTACGTGGTCTTCCTGCTTGCACTTCTCTTCTAATCTTTCTTCAATATCTCTTGCTACATGACTGCTGGTTTTGTTTGGGTTGAATGTTTTCGTAATTCTCTTTCACTCTTTGCTTTCTTTATATTGGTTAGGTATTGCTCTGGGACACAAAGTAAGCAGGAAATCTTGTGAGGCACCTTTTTATCTAGTTCTGTGAAATATAGTTTGAAAAGCAGAGCCCATGTCCTCTTTAGATAGAGGAGCCAGAGAAATGGTACTGTGCCTTTATAAACTGCACAGTTTGTCACTAAGCTCATGTATTCTGCTACCAACACTGAATATGCTATCTTAAATACAAAAAATTCAGGCCCCTGTCTCAGAATCTGTAAGCACCTGAATCAAAATCCAGTCACTTTTCCTGCTCTATCAGTGTTCTTTACTGTCTGAGTGCTGTACGAAAACCATCTTCCTTCTGCACTACTGGTGTTGGTCCTTGAAGAAAAGTTAGGTTCACTGTGATGTGTTGAACTTGCAGGGAGGATATAAATAAAGTTTAGTAAAATTCTCTTCCTGAAGCAAAAGAGCATCTGGGTCAGTCGTTGCTACTGTTGCACTGCAGTGCTAATGAGAGAAAATGCAGTAATTTTTTGTCACTTGGAACATGACTCAGAATAAGAGACAGACAATCTACTGATTAGGAAAGGGGGGAGTTGTTAATTTAATTAGGCAGTCACTTAATGAGTTAAAATGGTACTTTAGATCTAAGTGTCTAAGCCTGTAAAAATTTTAGGAGCACTGTAAGCTTTTGTATTTCAAAAGCAGCTTGGGTTAAGATTATTTATCCTTAAGAGGTGACATCTCAGCTTTGCAGATGGAGAGAGGACTTTGAGTTCTAGAGAAATTAGTCACTGCCAGTAACATTACCACTATACAATAAAGAAAGTATATTTTTAGGTATAATCTTACTGTTACACAGTGAGAGCAGTTCCATAGCTGAAGTAAAAGTTTGTTATTTTAATGAAAAATGTTGACAGGGTAGGCAATCAAATTTTTTTTTCTTAAATATTCTTATTGTCCAAAACTTCAAACCATAAAGGTTTGGATATGTACAAGCTGAAACACTGAAGCTGAAAATAGCATGCACAATGTTTTAGCCAAGTATTTCACCAGGCTGGATACTTAGTGGCTATTATTAAAGAGTTCTAAAGTTTAACTGTAGTTTGGAAATAAAACTTTTCTTCTTAAAGAAAAAACAAATCAAACACTTGCTAAAGAAAATATTTTTTTGTTGAGAAAACCAAAACAGTAACAGATTTCAGTCTTGGTGCATGATACAGAATTGAAAACAGACATTTTCCCTAGGAATGTCCATTTCATCAAATTTTCCACTTTGACCAAGCTGTTGTTTTTCTACACACAAGGTGGGCAAGGAGTTTCATGACCATTTTTCTACTACCTCTACTATAATTTCTTACTTTCCATATTATGCCCACCTTTAGCTGGGTTACAGAGCTGCTGGACGCCCCCACCCCAACAGGTTTAGGCACCCGCTTGTTGCTGGGAACGATAGAATAGTTTGTGTTGGAAAGGACCTTAAAAATCCTCTTGTTCCAACCCCCTACCATGGGCAGGGACACCTTCCACTGTCCCAGGGCGCTCGGAGCCCCATCCAGCCTGGCCTTGGACACTGCCAGGGATCCAGGGGAAAACACAGCTTCTCTGGGCAGCCTGTGCCAGGGCCTTACCAGCCTCACAGAGAGGAATTTCTTTCCAATATCCATTCTAAACCCCCTCTCTGTCAGTTTGAGGCCATTCTTTCCTATCCTGTCACTACAGGCCCTTGTGAATAGTTTCTCTCCATCTTTCCTGCCAGCTCACCTCAAGTCCTGCAAGGCCACCATGAGCTCACCCCAAAGCTCCTCCTCTGTAGGTGAACACCCCCAGCTCTCCCAGCCTTTCCCCCCAGCAGAACTGCTCCATCCTCTGCTGATCCTGGTGCCCCCTCTGGGCTCTCTGCAGCAGCTCCAGCTCCTCCTGTGCTGGGGCAGCTCTGTAGGTAGGCTCACCTGAGGGGCAGAGGGGCAGAACCCCCTGCCCTGCTGCCATGCTGGGCTCAGCCCAGCACAGGGGGTTCAGAGTCCCAGGGCACGGCCACCTCTCATCCTGCAGCACCCTCAGGTCCTTCTCCCTGGGCTGCTCCAGCTGCCCCTTCCCCAGCCTGGCTTTATCACAAAAAGGCTTCACTTGGAGTTCATTTGTGACTCACTGGTTTTAAAGCAGGTTCTCTTGCACCACAGCTTGACATAAGCAAGTGTTTCCTTCACACACTTATTAGCGAGCAGATGCCTTCAGGTCCTCTGCAAGAATAAAATCTTCAGCCAGAGCTTCACTCCATTTGGTCATTTAAAAAGCCACTAGACTGCCTCTCATCCCTCACTGTGCTTTTCCACTGCACCAGGTTCTTATGTGGAAGGAAAGCTATTCCATGAGGAGCTTTTTTCCAGCCAGCCCTTGCAGTGCTGTGCAGCAGTGGAAGAGGTGACTGGGGATTCTTGGGCACCAGCTCTGCCTGGCTCAGATTGGGATGTCTCAGTCCCATGAGGACTCAACAATGGGATTATTCCTTTGTCATTGGCAGCTCAGCCAGACTACAGCAGGGGCAGGAGGAGGGCAGTGAAAGAGAAAAGACAGAGGGAACACAGAAGCTGAAGAACCTGTAAGATAGCCAGAAACTGCAGTAAGAGACAGGATTGTGCCTAGCAATCTATTTTTTAATTGCCTGGCAAGAACCCAATGTGTTGTTTGGGTAAGGATCCTGTGCCGGCTTGTAAGAGGAGCCAATCCTCTTCCAAGGGAGGGGAGAATAGTGCAAGCCCCTAGGTTTGGCCTCTGCTCATCTCCAGCTCAGCAGCACTGGCCTCCAGCTGCTGCACGGGGCCTGAAAGGTCAGGAATTGGATCTTCAGCTCCAATGTGTGAGACTACAGCTTCAACCTCATAAACCACAACACTTCAAGATGAAGAACTGCAAGAACACAACTTGAATTGCTGAAAATTAAGAAAAAGAACAACCAACATTTTAAAATTTATATTATTCCAATTATAAAGAGACAAAATGATCTCACTTTAGTAGGTGGAGCAATGTTATTATTGTAACTAAACCACTGTTACTGCTTATCATCTACAGAGTGGGTGTTAAATAGATCAAGATTGCAAACTTACCTTGTGGAAAATTCAGGGCTGTGGAGAGGAGATAAAAAGGTTTCCAAATCTGAGCAAAATCTTCAAAATTCAGTAATGGATTAAAATTTGCTTTCAGTTTAATTTAGAACAGTGAACATATTTCCAATAATTCATTTGGACAATGTTTATCCATCTCATTTGAGCATCTCTTATGTGAAATATGATGTGTTAGCTGGTGTATTTAATATGAAACATGTTAAAGATACTTTAATATAGAAAGAAAATGAAATGAAAACACGATAAAGTCAAAACAATTTTATCTTATATCAAAAAAGTTTTTATATTATTAAAATAAATCAAGAAAGTAGAAATTAAATGTTTTGACTTTTCCTTGTTAAAAATATTTGTCAAAATTGACATGTTCTTGCAAAACATTTGGACTTCAACAAACAGAATTATTTTTTACAGAAGAATTGTTTCACTGAGCTCTAATTAAAAACTGGCTAACTCACAGATCTCAAAAAATAGATGCCAGTGGCGAATTACTACTGGGAGTCAACTATATGATGAAAGGGATTATTTCATTGGCCAGTGCTACTTAATATTCCGACCTGTGCTCCTGAAATAAATATAAAAACACTTCTAAAAGGTTTCTAGGTGCTAAGGAGTTCAGCAGAGTGACCAGGGCCATCACAGTGTGATGGGGATCTCTTTGGGGGACCTGTGACTCAAATATCAGCTGTTTCAAGTTGGGAAAATCCAGACATTGCCCCCACAAACAACTCTGCCTTGTCAGCACCAGACCAAGGGGTTCTTATGGATAAATAACGGAGCAGTAAAGGAAAGCAGGGGAGAAACAAGAAAGATACTGAGAGAGACCAGTGCAGGAAGGCAATACCAACAACATCAAACTGTGAGAGTGGGAAAATACACTAAGGAAAGGATAAGTCAAGTTAGAGCCCTTTGTTATTTTGCCCATCAAAGACTGAAAAGTGATGAGGAAAAATGAGGATAAAAGGTTACTGGAGTTTCTTTAAGGACAGAGTTTTAAAAAAGAGTTTAAAGCAGACAAGTTCAGAGGAAAAATGAAGCAACTTCTTTTACTGGTGACAGTAGAAACATGGTGATTATCCACATGGCGAGCTCATCATTTCAGGATGTCTTTAAATCAAAACTTTACGGAAGGCACAAGTTACTTTGGTTCAGCCCAGGAGAAGAAGGGGAAAACTATCTAACCTCAGTTACAGAAAATAACATAATAAGCGTTTTTTAAATATCTACTATATTTATAATCTATGGGAGTCTACGCATCAATTATTTGAAAATGGTGAGTAATCTGAAGATAGCCAAGATTTTTTAACTGAATCAAATTATGCCAGAAATCAGGAATTTATTATCAACACTGTCAACAATTGTTGAAACAGGAGGATTGGTTTAAAAGCACTGTCCTGGACATGGTTTCACAAAATTATTTCTAACTGCAAATTTTGGTACTAAATCTAATGAGACAGAGCTTTTAACCTTGGTTTTAGGAATAGAAAAAGAGAGCAGATCTAGAATGGCTGCCCTGGTGGCAGGAAGACACAGATGCAAGAGGGATACCTGCTCTCTTTCCTGATTCAAAGCTTCCCTGGTGCCTCCTCCATTGCCCAAGACCTCAGGACATTTTCAACAAAGAGAATATTTCTGTAGAAACATTTTTCTCTCAGCAAGCACCATTTCACCAGGAAAGAAATAAAAACTTGATCAATATAATATCAGTGTTTAATTCCTGCTTGTGCTACAAAACTAATTGTGCAGAACTAGGTTTGCAATTTATATTACTGTTAT